TAGACATCGACAGGGGTTATCCTCAAAGTGTTTCTTGGTTGGTGGTACGTACATGTTGGGTATCCCTCTTCATTTGTCTAGATACCCCAAACTCATCATCATCTTATATTTTGAATTCCTCTTTGTCCCAATTGCTTTACATTTTTTGGTAAAACATGACACCTATATACAGCCTATACATGCATATATATATTTGGGTGTCGGCAGGAAGCAAGTCTGTATTATTTAGTTATAAGGGATTTTAACTAAAGTCAATGCTCTCTAACTACAAGGGGTTTAGTTTGATTAGCTTATGGGTATAATTCATCTCAACTAATTATAAACACCAAATATACTGTATACACACATATATTAACACTACCGTACTGGCTAAATCCAGTGGTCATCGTTTAGTAAAACAGTATATATACATATATATAGTATAACCTAATGTAATTATTAATACTGGAAATTGATCATCAAGCTGTCATTATCTTATTACTGTTAATAAGTACTAGGTAGTGAAGCGCATGCCAATAATCAATTGTTGAGATTGACAAACTACCAACCGAATATTAGAGATTCAAGATTAGATGAAGCCAGTCAATGCATGTGCAGATTGTTTCAACGTTTATCCCTAAGATTAAGATCATGACTATATGTGAGTCTTTACTTTTACCAAAAAAGAATCTTGTTAACTATCATAAATTGTTTGGATGACTGAGATTTTTTATTATGTTCGTATCAGTTGATTAACGAAATAAATGTATTTTTATTTTAAAAAAAAACGAATTTTAATATATTTTTGATAAATTCTGAGACTAACCTGAAGATTTGAATATCAACTTCTTGGATGAATATTCATATGAAAAGAAACTGTAGCTCCATGGGAATGATGCTGCATGGTCTTACAGGTGATGATCACAAGGTGCAGTAATGGTCATGATGGGGAAGACGGGCACATGAAGAACTAACTCATTGGGTGCGGGTATATATAAAAAATCGTGCATGAGTTAGTAATGCACGTGCCCTGCTTCTCCATCTTGCTCAACACACACCTTCCTTCACTCACATTAACCCATGAATCGGATACACACACCACCCACATGTACATATAGAGTCATACAAACACACACACACACATATATATAGAGAGAAAGAGAGAGAGAGAGAGAGAGAGAGAGAGAGAGAGAGAGAGAGAGAGAGAGAAGAGGTTCTGAGGGAGATGGGTTAAATTAAAATAGTGAGTTTAGAGAAGATAGAGCCACATTTGTGTACTCCACTTTCACTTATTTATACAGATACGAGCAAATGAAAATGGTATAATTTAATCCATAACAATTTTCGCATTGAACCCACAAATGCCTGTATTTTTGAGTTATATCGAGATCATTAGAACTCTCTTTTATAGTTAAATCACTACGATTCGTGTTAGTTCTTATATTGGAATTTTCGCTTTCACTACTCTTTCCACTTTCACTACAAATGTAATTATAAATGTAACTGTCATTGTAATTGTCACTACCACTTAAAATAGAACTATCAATACAGATTTGAGAACGAAGATAAGAGTCAATGCAACTATTAATGTGATTAGTCCAACTATATTTAGGTATCGTACATGTAAAGATCATAGTGGGGGA